AAAGTTTTTGGGGTTAGTATTACATAATAATATGTCTTGGAAGTCTCATATTGAAAATTTGGCTGTTAAACTCACTAAAGCTTGTTATGGTGCAAGAGTAATTAGACCTTTTGTATCATTGAACTCCCTTAATATGATTTATCATGCGTATTTTCATTCAGTTATGTCATACGGATTGATGTTTTAGGAAATCTCTTCACATAGCTCAATTATTTTTAAACTTCAAAAGTGAATGGTTAGAATACTAATGAAGGCTAGACCTCTGGATTCCTGCAAAAAATTCTTTAAAATATTAAATATATTGCCTCTGGCCTCACAGTAGATATTCTCTTTGGCTCTGTTTGTGATTGCAAATAAAACTTGGTTTAGACAAAATTCTGAAATTCATAGTCTCAATACTAGGAATAATTCCAATTTTTTCCAACAAATGACTCATCTAACAATGTTTCATAAAAGTCCTGCTTATGCAGGTGTCAAGATTTATAATCATCTTCCAGATAATATTAAGGTATTGGCATGTGACATTAAAAGTTTTAAGAGAGCATTAAAAAGATATTTATATGAGCATTCTTTTTATACTGTTGAGTTTTTAAGTATAAAACTAGAGAGCCACCTAGACAGCATAAATAACGTTGTTATATCTTACGGTCATTTATTTATCTTTTTCTTGTTCTATGGCTGTTGGTTACAAACTGGTAGTATTTTATGCTCAAGTAATTTAGTGGTTGCACCTCTATTAATCAGTACACTTTCATAAAATGATTGAACTCTTCATGACTTGAGTGCGGTAATAGTTGTGCTAATATGGTATTAAAATTTCATTTCATTTTATATAGTGAATAACTTTTTATGTACAAAGTAAGATAAATTGAATTTATCCATTTATTAATTCAAAATATTAGCTATATTTATAACTGTTACCTTGTAATATTTATATTTGCTTTTTAATCTTTTATTTATTTTTGACAGAATCTTTTTATGACTGCATGTTCCTTGACTTCCTCTATATCCAACAGTTGCACCAGCCTGGATTAACAGAAATGAAATAAATGAATGAATGAATAAATAATAAATCTGAATATAGAAATTAGAATTTTAACAGTTTTAAATGTGTTTTGAAGTACTGTATATACTGTACGGGTTTATGGAGTTAAATATGATGATGATGATATTACAAACATAATGGGTGACAGGTGTGTAATTTCTTAGTGTATTTGTTTTAATTAATATGGGTATTTTATATGAAATGGCGTAAATACAGGTTTTATAGTAGGTTCTTTTTTAAGTACGTCAATCCATGTCTATTAAATGAAATCTTATTAAATTCTTTTGCCCTATAATATTATTTATAATTATAATCGATGTAAGTGTCTTTGTTTGATTGACTCGTGCAATTTTGTATATGCATGTTGGTGTATTTGTGGGGTGACCAACTTTCGGTCATGAATTTAAGGGAGATTTAGTCATGACAAATTTTGCGCCTTTTTAGTGGTGCGGCGTCAGTCCAGCAAACGTTCATGGAATGGATAATATTAAAAAAAAACAAACAATTAATTTACATTGTATATAATATACAGGTCACAATATAAAATAAATTTTACAAATTTGCATGTTTCTTAGTCATAACCTATACATACCTCGTATGTATTTGTCCACTGATGTTGCAGAACTAAGCATTTTTTATCTTCTTGTGCAAATTTAAAGAACTCTTTACAACTATAGTCATAATTAATTCCTACCATTAGCTCTGACTTAATTAGTTCTAAGCTGCTTTGATTTCTCTGATTAGTCCATTTATTGCTCATCAGTGAAAAAAAATCTTTCAGTATGGGCATTTGAGCCTGGGATGCTTAAAACAAAGCCTAAGATTTTAATAAGGTTTGGCATATCAATTTGTTTGTTTCTTAAATCACTGAAAATATTGACCCAACTTTGTTCTATACGTCCTGTTTTTACCACATTCAGAACACTTTTTGCACTAGAAAACTCTTCATACAGGCTGTCCTCATTTACAAAATCAAGATTAAATTCTTTTACAATGGTTTGAAAATATCTGAAAGAAAGTTCAGTGTTTAAATTTAATGGCAAAAGACAATGGACAGGATTTGCATTTGATAACTCAAAATTCTTAGAAATGTACTTGTGCAAGCAACAGTAGAAATTAACAAAATCATCTCTAGCACATTTCTGCAGGGGTGGATTCAAACAGTTTAAAATTTTTTCCGTGGCAGTACCAAAAAACCTGTCCTCTATCCTCTGCTGAATTTTATTGCCTACACATTGCATTACACTGTAGCATTCCATGATGCTAAGATTAGCAGTTTCAAGAATTTTGGCAGATTGAACAAGTACTGTACCAATGTTGGGAAAAAAAAATAAGGTATGCCACAATAACACACTCCTTTTCTGGATCTTTATCACTGAAATGTTTTTTTTTAATATTTTTGGACAGTCGTTCACACTTTTGAAATAACTCTTAATAGGTAACCAGTTTTGTATTAATCTGTCCACAGCTGATGTTAGGGAAAGCCAACGAGTGGGCACATGACGAACAATCTCCAACCACTCGGCATCAACAAGATCAAAGAATGACTTCAACTCTTCTCTTCTTTTTGCTGATACCAAAAAGTGTCCATATATTTTTAAGATGATCATTTCAATATCCATGTCTAATCCATCAGATGCATGTTTTGTGGCATTATGCAATATATGATTTGAGCAGTTTGCTTTAAGCACATTTTTGTTATCTTCTTGTAGTAGTCTGAACACAGAATTATGCTTCCCATAATTCACATTTGCATTATCTGCACAATATGAAGTTAGATTTTTATATCTAACTTGTGTGTATCAAGTGAAGACTTGATCAAATTATGGGTAGCATTAGCTGTTTCATCAGCTTGTTCAATGAAGTCCAGGAGCCTATTTTTAACACCACTAAGAGGGTCAAAATACCTCACAACCAGTGGGAATATCTTTCTGTTTTTGTGGTTGGCGGCATCAGTTGCAACAAAGAAAAAGTTGCTTGATTTTGCTGGATCCTTCAACACATTGATGAAGTCTTGCACGCTTCTTGGCGCTAGAACATTTTTCACAATAGCCTCTGCCTTTGTTCGGCCACAGGACATCTTCTCAGCCAAGTTAGAGTCATGGTAAATATCCGTCTATAACTTATTTTCGCAATCCATACTTCTGTAGCTGATGTTGTTTTTTACAGTATGGAAAACCAATGCTAGCTCACCTGCAACGTTTTTGATGTCTTTCCTGCTGTTCCCGAAAAAGAGGCGTAAATTTGAAGAGGCCTTCACGTCCCTTTCCTTTCGTTTATGCCCTTCTGTGCAAGAATGTTGTCTGCAGTCGGTATTACCCCCGTGAGCGATGCTGAACTCACGTTTACAAAGTATACAATAAGCTCTGTAAACGTTGGAGGGCACGGACTTTAACCATATTGTTCTTCCCATTTTCTCAAGTAAACACACAAGTATTTAGTTTTCTTCTTAGCTGGAGGTTTTGCATTGTTGCTTTCACTTTCACTGTCACTACTCATTATGAGGATTCAATTAGGTAATTATTTAAAAGCACGAGGATGAACACGGAAAGAAGTAAGGACAGAAAATATTACAATCCGTAAACGGATATTCCGCTATCGATTATTGGTAATTTTTCGATATTTATCGATGAGTACCTCTAAGTCTAAATTGTCGATAATAATGACAGTTTATATCGTAATGTATTTGGCGGGAATAATATATAATTTAAATTTTGCGATCTTGATTGTTAATGAAATATACGGGAGAAATAGAAAGTCAATACGGGAGCCGGGTGGATCCAAAAAATTAGCTCTAATACGGGTGATCCCGGGAAATACGGGCAAGTTGGTCACCCTATGTATTTGTATTTAAAAGGACTTTTTCCACATCCTGGTTTGTTAACCTGTATGGATATATATGGAAAAATAATGAAATGAAAAAATTGACTCTCCACTCAATTTTGTGCAATTTTTCTACAAGGTTCTACTTAATTCAATACATATAATTTTATTGGTTCATGTGCCCTTGAATTCCTAGACTTTCTGTAGAACTATGCTTGACAGTGTCATTACATGTCAAATTTTTGTTTGTGACTCAGTTTCTTTGATAAAAACCTGTACATTTAACAGCAAGCAGTACTTTCCTTGAACTTATACTGTTGTTTACAACAAAAATTTATATCGTATTTTTATGAAATGATTAGATATCATAATCCCCATAAATCAAGCACATCTGCATTGACTGTCATATATTATGCATCACAAAATATCAGCCACATGTACATAATGGATATTGAAAATATAATGGTCGAACTACTGTCCGGCACATTATCTCTCGTAACTCCCGCACAACATGCGACACACGTTTGACACAGAAGTCTATGCCTTATCCCTAAACCATCATATTCTCCCATAAACACAAATCTCAAATCTTTTGAAATGAGAGAACTCTTATTTGTCAAATTCACATGTGTAACATAAAATCAAATACTGTAAGTTGCATAGGAATGGAGCAGGAAATAAGAAGTATTCTTGATAATGAACATTATATTATTAACCCAGTCATGTTTAAAAGATCCTGTAAGAAGAAAACTGTTCTGGACTTTTGAAAAGCACACATTTCTACACATTTCCCACAGTCTGAGGCAGTGGATTCATGTATCTAAGGGGGCACTACAAAGATCCCTGAAATGTCTCAATCCATCAGACTGTGCTAGATAGAAAGAGAAAACAGAGCACCAAATGCATTTATTTACATATTAAAGGGGCACAGCTGATCCATACAATGTAGATTTACATGTATATAGATATAAAAACTCAAGTCACTTTTATTTCATGTTCATAATGACTAACCACTATCACAACTTGAGAGGGATATTTGGCCAAAGTTTTGGTTGCTTCAAATCACAATTTCGATCGAAACTAAGTTGCATGGCAGTTTCCATTCCTAAAATCATCGGTGCGGCTTCACCATACATCAGTTTCATTTCCTCAGTTCTCTGAAGTCCAATTTGTTTTCGTGGAGTCAATACTGAATCATCAAAACCTGCAAAATATAAAATATAACAACAAATTCACTATTAATATAAGTATGATCTCCTTCTATGAGGATCCTCAACATAAATACTGTTTTTTTTTCTTTTGCATTCTTGATTTCTCTATGCAAACTACTTGTACAATTCACTGCAACTGCAATGAATGAATGATCAATAGAAACTAACTCCATGGATCAGAGTCATTCTTCTTGAGAAGCTAAAAGCCACTCAGCTAGTTAAGAAATCCCAATCATTTGCAGTATCTGAAGGTCCATTAGTGTGATTAGCATGTTCATAAGGCTCCAACATTAGACCTACATAAAAAAAAAATATATTCACACACTATTCCTTTAATGTTTTTTCAGTTTTATCCTCTTATCTCATTCCTTTCATACAATACATGCCCACATATATTATGCTACTTGAGTTCATCACTCCCTTCAGTTAAACCCCTAGCAATATTGGGAGAACAGTACAAACTAGAGGACAAAAACATTGTTGAACTTTTTTGTTATTACTGCACCACTAGTCATCATGAGTTCCTTCCAATTGGCCACACGGTCAGTCAACTTTATTATGAGTATCTGAAAATTCTGAAGCATGTGAGGGATGCAGTACATAGAAAACTATTAGCATTGTGGACTGTAGGAATGCAACACCTAAATCGTGACAATTCATCAGCACATACAGTGTTGCCAATTCAAGGTCTTGGCAAAGCATTCAATTTCTGTCTTACCACAACCTCCATATTCACCTGACCCTCCTCCTCCAGACATTACTTACTTACTTACTTACTTACTCATGGAGTCGAGCCCTTCTGGAGGAGCAGCCATTTCTGCAGCTACTCAAGAGCTTCCCAGCATTTTACGGAACCCGAAGGTTCATTACCGTGTTCACAAGAGCCCTCCACTGGTCCATATCATGAGTCAGAACAATCCAATCCATACCACCTCATCTTTTCTCTCTAAGATCCATTTTAAAATTGTCCACCCACCTACATCTTGGTCTTCTTAGTGGTCTCTTTCCTTCTGGCTTTCCCACCAATATCCTATATGTATTCATTCCTCTTCTCCCATTCGCGCTACATGCCCTGTCCATCTCATCCTCCTCTACTTGATCATTCTAATTATACTTGGAGAAGAGTACAAGTTATGAAGATCCTCATTATGCAGTTTTCTCCAACCTCCTGTCACTTCATCTCTCTTCGGTCCAAATATTCTCCTCAACACCCTGTTCTCAAACACCCTCAGTCTATGTTCCTACCTTAACGTCAGAGACCAAGTTTCACACCCATACAGAACCACAGGTAAAATTATAGTTCTGTATATTCTCTCCAGACATAACATAGTGAAATTAATTTCGATTAAACTAAGAGTTTATGTAATGCTGCACTTTAAGGATTCTATGAATATTACCTTATATAAATACTATTAGATAACCACTGATAATTTTAATACAAAATACCAGAGTGCACATTATATTATTACAGTGGTTTATCCTGCAAAGTGGCTAACAGAGATGAGAAGGCGTGAAGCTGCTCAGGTATGAAAATGTTAATCCCAGCACCTGATACAGCATCATAAAATAACATAGATCACCTTCCTGTCAGCACAGCACAATTGTTAAACCCTCTCTGACATGTTTCATTTCATAACTCAATTTATTAGAATTCTGCTACAAAGGAAGGTCACAGAATGCAGTCAGTATTCTCTCTTTGAAAGTGTAACAAACATCAGCTTCTTCTGGCATCACAGCACAGGTCCTCCAATGTGTCCACAAGACTAAGAGTAGCTATCATCTGGGTGCACAGATACAAGTTCAAGCAGAATGGTATCTATGATATCTGTTCTAACCAATGGTTTCAAGACATAAAGAGCAGCTTTGACAATGTCAAACTATATAAATGTTTTGAAACATTCTATTTTTTTTCAGTGCTAGTTGGGTGGGACTAGGTCCCTTGTACTGCAGCCACATCTGGCCTATTGTACCAGCCCCAGATGATAGGTGAGGGTGATTGTGGAGCTATTGGTGGAATGAAGATTGGCAGGGGAAACCAAAGTACTCAGAGAAAACATGCCCCAGTGCCACTTTGTCCACCACAAATCCCACTTGACCAGACCCAGGACCAAACCCGGGCCGCCGCGGTGGGAAACCAGTGACTAACTGCTTGAGCTATGGCGCAGCCAAAAACATTCTCTATACTATGTTCTCTAAATTTTTCTGGCACCCTTCAATCCCCTTGTTACTCTCATTAACAGATCCATCAAGCACCAAGAGAGCTGATGTAGTGGTAACACTGCACACTCATATTTGGAGTTATATGGTTCACATTTGAGCCAGCTTACTGTCTATCCTAAGAGAACTCTTTTATGGCTATATTCTACTTAATTCTATCTCTTCTCCAACCAGATATGACTTTCTGTGGTGGGGGGGGGGGGGTTTGTATGCCTCTGCAGACTATGATACCAGCAATGTTACTACTGGGTAACCTTGAAAAAAAAAAAAAAAGCCTGCAGTCAACAGGATCAGAAAGCAAGCACATCAGCAGCAATATAGCAGCAACATCTATAGATATATAACCAAATCCATGCTGGACAAGGGGATACTATATAACTGAGACAACCTACTGAAGCACAAGAATGAAAACGTTGCAAAACAGACTTGGCACAAAATTCTTCAGAATTAAGTTCATTGCCTTGCATGGAATGAAATTCAACAGTTAGTGCACAAAGGCCAAAAAGAAGTGTTTCAGCCCTGGAGTTACACAGAACTGAAATGTGTGATCTCTCATACCACAAGGTAACATCTGTGCTATCATCAAAGATGGTCTCCAGCCACAACCCAAGGGAACAAATGTGCTATTCAACACCAACGCAGATAAAAATATGACTGAAATATACATAAATTGCCTATTGTTTAAATTAAAAATGGAAAATATTTTCTTGTGTAATGAATCAATTGAACCGAATATATTGTTTAGTACAACTACATAAAATAAGCCAGGATAGTGTAGTCTGTATAGTGACTGGCTACTGGTTGGAATGTCCTGGTAGGGACAAGATTTTTCTCTTCTCCACATTGTCCAGACTGGTCTTGGGGCCCACCAAGCCTCCTATCGAATGGGTACTGAGGGCTCATTCTCTGGGGGTAAAGTGGCTGAGATGTGAGGTTGACCACTGAACCCCAACTAGTACCTGGGTCAAGAATGCATGGATCTATACATCCACTCCTTCTTGCATCTTCATGGCACGATACTTAATTAAGCACAGGGACGCCTTCAACTTATAAATACTTAAGTATGTTCTACATCCTATTAAAGTAAATTCTGAACAATGTAAATGAGTTTCAGTCAAAATTGAGAAAGCCATTCATTTTCAACATTTTTTTAATGTCAATCTTGTGTCACACCTCTATCCCTGAAACAGCCCGTGAAGGTCCATAGGGTTGTGAGACGTTAAGGGTCCCACATCATCTAGACGATCGGCTCAAAGATTGCGGTAAGGTTGTCAGCCTTACGCGCCGGCCGCGCTTTACTCCCCAGGAAAATTATTTAATTAATTCCTGGTTCTATGAACTACAATACTTCAAGCATCCTGTTTGTGCTGTTTGTGTCACTTTTATATACCTTTCTCCTTTTCAGCTTTCTTCCTTTCTGCTTCACGTTGCTCCTCTGAAACAGGAAATTATGACTCTGTAGTTTTTTGCACTCAGCAATAAGAGTATGAAAGATCTCATTACTCTGTGCCAGCCTCTGCAGCCACAGATGTTAGAGCACAATGGTGGTGGGTGATTTTGGTGTGTAGCATTTATTATAATGATCCATTATCACCATCCCATCCTGCTGATCCCATTAGGCTATACTGTTCAATGGATCTGTCTGATCTGATCCTGAGACAAATATTTTATAATATGAATGTGAATGAAAAAAGTTACAGTATGAAAAAATATTTATTCTTGCATTTTTATGAGGAATAATTTATAACACAGATAGAATTATTTCCTATGGCATTTTGTGTGGTCTCAGGAAACCCTGAACTGGGACCAAATCCATCACATACAAAAGTAACAAAGAAGATAGTGAAAACTGAAGTAGCAAATTTTTATAATTGATGGGAATGTTTGTCCTTGCCCCTACAAAATTTTATGGATACTAAGGTAATGTTAGAGAGTTGGAGTCTCATATGAACTCGTTCATAATGAAGGCAATTCACTTGCAAGAGTATTCAAAACCTGTCACAAACTGTATTCCATACAACAGAGATCAAGATTTACTAATCTGGAATATTATCATATTATGGAGGCACATTCTTTATTTTTACTCACACCAGCATAAAATAACACAAAATTTCATTTTTTAAATTAAATCCAAAAGCTAGCATATAACCATCATACTCGTCCTTGATTGCAACTTACTGAGTTCAATTTTATGTCGAATGCTTTGCTCAAAGAAGTCCATCATTTCTTCTGTTACTTGAAATTCAAATTCATCTTGATTTGAATCCTCTTTTTCCTCTTGCTGTTTACTGTTGCCATTAGGAGTGGCTTGCTGCTTCATGTTACGTTTTTTTCCTTTTGGAGAAGAAACACTATGGCTTTTGGGAATTTTTGGAACACGTTTCTGTATTGTAAAATAACCCGGATTTTCATCATTGCATACAAGGCTTTGTAAGTATTGGTGCAAAAGAGTATTCTCGTACTCGAGTGCAATTGACCGTGATTTCCAATATGCGACTTGATGCCGTTCTTGCCATTCTAAAGCGTTATAGTAGTTCTCCCAAAACCAATTATATTGTGACGAATCGCCAAATGGTTGGGGAAGCGCATGAGATGTAGGCCATGTATTACACTCCCTTTTATTTTTCCTAAAATGTTTACGTTTTGAGTGCTTCTGACGCATACCTATTTCAACTTCAGGCTTTATAGTTTGATCACATGCTTCATTACAAGCCATAAACACAAATCGCTGTGATAAACGACCAACGTTAACCTCAATTCAGCAGTTTATAAGCGGATCCACACATGACCGCTGACATTATCATACAAAACATTTCCGCAAAAGTGATTTAAAAGCAAACGGTAATAGTTTTATTTTAATTTATATTTATCTACTACCATTACAACCTTTCATTAAACGGTCCACACTACCACTCTTCTGGCATCCACTTTCGTCAAATTTTTAACACGAAAGTTGGCAGACCTACTTACGATTACAGTGAACAACAGTGAATAACTGCAAGCTAGAACTTGATACTCTGATTCGAACACAAGCATCACAACACACAGACAAGCAACATCAACTACCTACAGACAACACACGTCAGCAACACCCCGAAGCAAAAAGATTGGGCCAAGCGGGAAAGAATTCTAGGAATTTTAAGAATTCTTACTTCAAATAATGAAACATAATTTTACAGAAGTAACGACGAACAAATAAGAAAGCTACTGTGGTGTGTGAAAAACTTTTAGTGAACCGATACTCTGGGTAATTTTAACTATTTGTAATTATTTTAATTAACTGGAACGTGGTTATCTTTGACAAAGTGAAGTTTTGTGTGTTGGTGATTTCTTTTTCTACTATAAATGCCTCTGATGATGGCTCCGTGGTGAGCCGAAACATGTAAGGCAGGTGGTGACGAGGTGGAAAACTTAAAAAAGTGTCACATTTGACGGAAGGAACTTGATTGTTGATTGTTAGATTGTTAAAAGTCTGACATTTATTCCGCAAAATATATGGGGCTGCGCGTTATGAAAATAACTCACGGAAAATTCCAAACCTGCTCCATGCGACTATTCCAAAACACAGATTACTTAAATATCATCCACGGATCAACCACAACATTTAACTCTCCCGCACGTTAAATTGGAAGCACTGCCATAAATATCCTCGCCGTTTTTGTTCCGCTTCATGCGGACATGCAGCGATATACAATAGAGAGGCGATTAAATATTAACCGAAGTTGCACATAGCCTGCAAGTGGAACACCAAGCGCAACAGATTGCTGAATATCCACGTCATATTTCTCTTCAATTTCGCAGTTGGCAGCATTCCTTTGAACTTTGTATATGATACCTATAACCAAAAAGGTTAGCTACTAACTCACGTAGGCCCACGACTCTAATTCATTAAACCTAACCCCAGTTGTGATCTTTTTTTTTCATTTCTTTTATGTACACGTTTACATTGCTTCTTCCTTGGGTGCCATATAATCCTATTTTTAATAAGCTTTAATACGTTGAACAATAATTTATGGTTTCTTACAAAGATAGTCCCATGGAACATCATCAAACCTGGATTATTTTGGGTAAGAAATTTATTCAGCCATATTTGAAACATATCACATTATGGGATATAACGCCGCGTAGTCCGTTTAAAGCTATCATTTCAGAGGAACATACTACATCCATCTCCAGGGGTCAAATAAGCCAAGCAAAATGCCAGCATGAAAGCAGCTTGCCACCTGCTTCCACCCAGGTATAGTGCTCTGCTTATTTGACCCTGAAGACGGTGGCGATGTTCCTCCGGAACGCCAATTGACTTTCAGCAGACTGCATGTTACACCCCAGAAGATGGTACTACTTTTCATGATCACTGCTGTGGGGGCCTCAAATCCTACAACACACACTTGATCCTCAATCAATAGAATTCATGATGAAAATTAGGAAAATGTAAAGAAAATCACTGACTGAACAAAACAATTTTATTTCATTACCTTATCAACTACACAGCAATGTCACATAACAAGGAGCTTCCCATTTCATACAGGCAGACTTCCTTTTCCTGAGCCCAGACAACTGCTGGATCAGACAGAAACCGGGATAATACTGGACTTCTAAGTCTACTGTACACCTCGTGGGCAATTCAAGGGTGAGAAAGAGGCTTTGGGAGGGGAAGACCATACCCAAGAAAGGACTGACAGAATGTCTGATAATATGAATGCCAACATAATATTGGTGACAGATACAAAATATGTATTACTGGGCTTTTGGACCTTGTCCACCATCTTAGCATTCAAAAACTAAAAGTTTCTATCATCAGGACAAAAGGTGGGGAATTACCTGCTCAGTTGGGTCTGTTAGGGCAGTGATTCTCAACTGTCACATCTGGATCCCACCACAGTAAAAACAATGCTCATCTTTTTATAAGTCTATTTCATTAATGGATGTCATTTTTGTGACCTTACATCCCACCCAGCTGTCAAGTCCCACTAGCTGAGAAATACCGTATTTACACCAAGCTAATCTCATCATCACATTTCCTCTGAGGTTGGCAACACATCCAGTGTGTGCAGAATCCTAAGACAACAGACAAAATGCAGAAACCCAGTAATACTAACTGTAAAATACCACTGTCAGAACCCTTTCAACTGGAAGGGCATTAAAAGGCGACACAATCTACTGCCTTCCTAATGTAAGAGCTGCAAAGTGGGTGCAAGTTAGAAAAAATATACTCTTTAATACAATCTTGAATATCATGAAGTGAAGATTATTTAAATAAATATCAATTCTATTCATGTATCAATGAAAACTGAATGAAAAAATCTGCATTTCTCACAAATGCATAAGGCTGTTATGAATTCATCCTGACAATATTGGAACATGTCTTTTCATTCAGTTCAATATCTAAGAAGCCCATTATTATACTAATAAAAATGGTACAATCTATATACACGAAATTGTATTACAAAATATCAAGTGTTCAAATTCAAAACACAAATAAATAATTTACGTGCATCCCATTTAAAACAGGCTCTCAAATCACATTTTCTTTTATAAAAGCCTTTTTAGCATTATATCTGTTTACAGATAATTTAAATTGAGAGATCGTTCAAATGCTACCTCTCCTGTTCTAGGGGAAAACGTAAGAGTTTCCAAAGACTCTGGACCCTCTTCAACTTTCAGGCCATTATCAATATCTGTTGTTTGCAGTGGTTCTTTTTGTTCCAAAGTATCAGGACCTCCAAGAGGATCCAGTCCAATAATCTTTCTTGCAACATCAGGTAAACATATAGCTGATGTCAGCTGGTGATATATTCCTTCTGCTTTGCTTAATGTTGAATCCAGCTCAATGTGCAATGACAGATCATTAATGTGCTGTAAATAAATAAAAAATAAATATATATATATGTACACATAAAAATGGCTGTAAGCATTGTTTTTGTTAATGCCTACAGTCTCAACATTTTCTGATTCAAGAAGCAATGCCTTATCCAAGAACTTACATCCTATCTTACACTGTGCAACAGCCTACAAATCTCATTACTGCCTGTACATCATAACATATTCACATATAATATGGAAATTAATGTCTTTATAAGGAATAAAAATTGAAGGGGCATTATCACCCACATTAACCATTTACAACTATAGGCTACAAATGACAGCCTACAAAATAATAAATTTTCATGTAGTTGGTTATGGGACTATGCTACAAGCCGGAAGGTCGCAGGTTGAAGTCCTGATGAGGTCACTGTTTTCTTTTTAAATTGACCCCATCATTCCAGTGATTGAGACTAGCTCTTTCTAACGGGCCCAACTGAGTAGGTTTATCCTTCCCCACCCACTTGAAGACAGAGACAGATCCAGTCTCCGAAACGTCATGGTCTTTTGTCTTTTACATACCAGACGATGGATGAAGTCCAAAATAAAGCCAAAAGAAGTAAATCCAGTTATCTATCATTAGTAATGGAATATCATGAACAATATAAAATTTCAACCATGAAACACTTTGTAGGATTATCCCACACCCCAGAAGATAAGTACTCTTCAAGGAACTCGTCTGCCAAATCAACAGTAAACCTTGTGATATTATGATCCAAAAATGCAGCTCTCACCAATGTGACAGCAAAGCTAGACACGAGCTGATATTCCTTCCTTTACAGTGGCTACTCAGGAGATATAGAAGAGAGAGTGACTGAAATTTGCAGATAATCATTCCTTTTTAGTTAGCTCACTGACACTGGAAGGATTAACCCTATCTCCTTCAACTTTCGGTACTTTATATTACAAAATTTACAAAGAATCTAACAGGACTGTATTGTATACCTTTTTTTTTTCTGTGGCGCTACAGCCCAAATTTGGGCCTAGGCCTACCTCCATGAAACTCTCCGTTTCACTTCGGTTTACTAGATCTTACACATTCGGTAGGACTCCTTGGGCGAGTGATCAGCTCGTCGCAAGGCCTCTACCTGTAGACAAACAGAAAAACGCACACAAACATCCATGCCCTGAGTGGGATTCAAACCCACGGTCCCAGCTTCCGAGCGAGCAAAGACAGTGCATGCCTTAGACCGCTTGGCTACCGTGACTGGCATTGTATACCTTATACTAGTACATAATTCATGACATGCTTAGTTAATGTACCCTAATTTTGTTACAAAATTAAGAAAACCACAAATTTCCCCCACATATTTCAAGCATTCTATTCTCATGAAAGATGACTTCTATGAAAAGTTTGGCAAATAATGTCTGAAAAAGATAGCAACATGTATACAGTCCAAAGCAAGTGGAAGCAAATTGTATTTGGTGGACAGCCAAACTGTTTTCTGCTGCTGTTACATATAATGTGACCTGTGGATCACTGCAAATATTATGGATGACATCATGCCAAAGAAGCAAAGTCATGATATGAAGATTGAGACCAAAGATTAAATGAAATAAACATTCTAGACCAGCCATGTCAAACATGCGGCCCTCATAGCCACAAAGTGCGGCCCCTCAACTTTTCTAATTCATATTAAAATCAATATTAAAATTTTAGTAGAAATATTTTTTGTAAAGACAATTTTCCAACAGACCAGAAGACAAGAAGTCTCACGCAGACATAAATTAGCAGGCTGCAGGAAATTCAATGTTTTGCTATTTCTAACATAATTTCTTGTGTAATCTCTCTTTTTACATATTGAAAAGCTGTTTGATACTTGTCAAAAATGTAAGATATATGACTTTATGTAATTATACTGAAATTATTCCTAAATAATAAATAGAATTAAATTTCCTTGTATCAAAATCTAATGTATATTTCTATTTTGAAGTGCGGCCCTGGACTATTATTTATAGGGCTGAGGTGGCACTCTGTACAAGTTGAGTTTGACATGCCTGTTCTAGACCATTTCCATAAAGTTGGGGGGAAGTGTATAGATTGTGTTGAAATATGGCACATCTGGAAAATTACCTTCAGTATCTCAGTAAATCCATAATTATTCTCCATAAGGATATGCTGTTGTGTGTCTAAAACTGCTACGCACAGAAGAAGATGAAAATTTGGACAAGGTAGGTCAGTCCATAAAACTTCCCAAAGTCTCATGATATCTTGATACGAGAATTCCCGTTTAAATAATACCAGAAGCCAACGGAAACAAAAGAACATGTTCCCAGACTCATGCTTTTCCAAATAAGCACTCAAATCAGGCAGAGTCACCGACAACAGGCAATGCAACTGCTGGAGCTGTTGTTTCATGCCAGCTTGATCCAACTCAAAGTTGCTGCACTGGAAAACAAGGAACAACATATGAACCTTACATAAAATTTTAGTACCAGTTTCCAAATTCTGTATGGTGTGTACAAAGTCTAGTTCCCACCTTCTACTATCTTCTGTGTTTGATTTATGTTTATTTATTAACTATTTTGTTTCTTTGGAGGGTTCCTTTATAGACAGGAAAATGACAGACCAAAGTGAATATACTGCCTGAAGAAAGGATAGTAATAAGCAGGTTGTGTATGTGAACTGTGGCTAAAATTTCTATGACTTTCAGGCAAGATATCATGAGGACACTCCACCCATTGGGAATGCAATGGATGTCTTGTCATATGTTATATAAGCTTTCACACTATTAACTTCCCCTGCTTTCTCCTGTATTCCTTTCCAGTCTTACACATTACCAAATGATACAATGAGACTAGTGTTTGATGCCTTCTCCCACATATAATACACATAAACAGTCAATCTTCAACTGTTTCCTTTATATGGTATGCTACACTGCATGAAGCTTCTAAACTGTATCAGATAAAATTCATGGAGTCAGAATCTGTACTAGTGGAGATTATGCACAGAAAATTGATTACTACTGGAAAATTTTAGAATTATTAATATGTACTTCTTGGTAGCCTTACTATATAGAATTAAGGACTTGAAGACAAGTTTGTCCCACGGTTGTTAAAATATAAGGCCATGTTTATTTATAACTCACAACACATTACACAACAAATCATCAAAATTTAGGAATATAATAAATGTTCCATTTATTTCAAAATAAACAGAGAAACACAAATTATTATATTGTGCATATCTGTAGTTGTCATTCCTTCCACCTCCATGTACAAATGGGTTTCCATCCTGAAACCACAGATAAATTTCAAGACTCCAGTTCTAATCAGCCATCGTACCCATGAGCTATATAGCACATCTTCATATTCCGCTTCAAAGTGAAACAAAAGTTCTTGAAACTGCCTGTGACTGAGTATGAATAATGTTAACTCTGAACATAAGTGTCTGCATTAGACAATTCAGTTTTACTGCCTTCAAACAAAGAGACTAATGATGTAATATGCAGTGGCACACTACGAAGTGTGATGCTCAACTAGAGTGTTGTTTTCTATTGCTTCAGTAATTAATGCTGTTAATCCATTTCTCTTCCTTACCACAGCTGAAGCTCAATCTGTTGAGACTCCATTTTCATTGAACTTTGTCATGACTCCAACAACTTTTTCATGCAACTACAGACCTGTGTCTAATCCTTTCATACCAGACAGTGCAGTCAGAATGTCAGGTACATTAAAGCTGGAACAGACCTTGCACAACATGTGATGACATATGGTTGAGCATGGGAGGGAACTGTGACAAGAAGCAGTAGTGTGGTAGAGGTAACTCTTCAGTGTTGCCAAAAGATTTGCTATGCGCAAAATCAGGAAGCAGACAAACTTGCTTCATCTCTGTACATTGATCCACCCATATCTGTGACTTCGTCCAAAGGCATGGAATAGTGTTTTTATAGTTCTTCCACAGCAACCTTTCACAAGACTACCCAACATATTGTGACATGACGTCTGAACGCCAGAAGCGTGTGGTCAGAAAAGTACAGTAGAGACATCTGGTGCTAGACAATGGCTAGTTGAAACACAATTCCACAGCATTTATACACTTGTATAAATCAATGCATTAACCAGAGACTGTCACATGTTTTGCACCAACAGGGAACAACAGAGGAATTAACTGTCTGACTGGGTGTTCTAATAAGTTCGATCCACGTGAAGTTAGTTCAGCCTGAGACCCAGAGAGAGAGAGAGAGAGAGGATTGAGAATTGGGGATGCAGGATTCAACAGTTAAAGTGTTACAAAGTAACAACCAGTAAGCAGATGCTAAAGAATTCATTTTGAGTGTTATAATTACTTGTACTTATGACTTATGAGTATCCAATAAATTGATTCACCAATTCAAACCCTGTCTACAAGCCACTAATACATGTGACAACTGGTGTCAGAAGTAATTAGATCAGTGTGATCACTTATTAGTTTATAGCTTACAGTGTTACTCCTCAAAAATGGAAAACTCCCAACTCCTGAAGGCCATAAAAGAAACGATGAAAGCCAACTAGGAAGAAATGACGTCAAGGCTGGAATCCAAGGAGGAGGCCAACGATGCCAATAGGGAAGCCAATCAAGAGGAAAGGAAGGATGAAAGAAAAGCCAGCTGAGAAGTTCTAAAGGAAATGTGGGACAAAATCAAATCTGGCCAAATGGAAATGAGATCCACAGTTAAGTGCCATCAAAAAGAAGTTAGGGGCATGTCTAGATCACAAAGAGCTAAGAAAATATAGTCTCTGGGCTGCAGTTCAGTATGACTATTGTGAATGTGACCGCGTGTAATTATACAGCCATGTTCATACACCTGAGGATGACCTCTTGAGGTCGAAACATGCAGTGATAATAAAAAACGTGTTGTGTAGTCAGTAAATTCACTCTACTATTGATTGAACACACAACAGGCTGCAAGAAACGATTAAAATCCTACAAGTGATTTGAAATACAATAGCAGAAAAGTTAACTGTCAGTTTCAGCTCCTAGCTGTCATTCCTAAACTCTTTCTGCAATACGTGTGGTTTGTCTGGCTCATTTTGTGCTTTAGTTACACAACTTCAAAAATTCTTAGAGATTTTTCCATCAGTTAATTAAAACATGCACACCATCTTTCAGGATGCTATTTTTCTAAAATTTTTACAAATGGATATAAGCTTTCATATAATGAATATGGGTACATCTGTGTCAAATATGATTAAAATCTGAGATGTTCACCTGTGTGGCATTTGTTTACTTGATGTCAAATAACCCGGAAGTTATAACCCATCAATAATAATGAAATTACAAAGTGGAATGCTATCTCAAGAAGATTCTTCAGATTTCATGTTCCTCTGATTATTCTTATGTATGAGCACACCAATAAAATATGATTATCCATTCTCTAATACTACCACATGAGTGATTATTTTCTCCTTCTAGAACTATACGTGTAAATAAAGACTTGATTTAGGTTACCACTTTGTCCATGAAGCCCACAAAACACCAGAAGGCATCTACTTCATTTGTCATAACACAGAGGATGGGCGAAAGCAGATCACTCATTCCCTGAACATAACCAAGATCAAAATTGTACATGACATATGTCATCAGGATATCTGACAGCAGCATCAGGTTTTCGTTGTTCTCACCAGCAAAGAATGGGAGTGTGCGGTCTGTCCTGTTTACATCTTTCTCTGTGAAACAAATTAACTGCATAAATTTAAGAATCTCTGTAGTATCTCACTATTACACTGAAGAGAATTCTTAGTTTATTATGAAAGAGAAGCCTAACTTGCTAAGTAAGGAAGCAACAATCTCTCCAAGGGAAAATCCTTGAGGTTCAACACTGCTAATACCTAAGTTCACTATTTTTATGCTGTGCATCCTCTTGTATATACAGACACGGGTTTTATCCCGTCACACAACACATTGATTCTATCACGTTTTGGTCATGGCTGATCATCAGCAGGTGTGTGTACAAACATAACTGATCTATTTTGATTACATATTCTGAAATATGATGCAATATATTTATGATTATGTATGTACACACACAATGATGGTCAACCACTACTGAAACATGTAGTGTTCAATGTACGAAGGGTGTTCTGTATACAATGCCTCCTATTTTTTTGTGTTAATATATAATGTCTGAGCTTGATGTTGGTGGTGGTGTAGTAGTTGAACCTTCCCGCCAATGTACTGTTAGTTTGGTTGTCGTGCGACAGATAGCGACAGCAGAGTAGTCTACCAAAATGGCGTCTGACATAGAAGTGCATACAAAACAGAGATGTGTTATTGAATTTCTCACTGCCGAACAAATTGCACCCATTGACATCCATCGACACTTGCTAAAGGTGTACAGAGACAATGCACTGGATATCAGCACAGTGAGGCGGTGGGTAGTGCGTTTCAACAGTGACAAAAGTGAAGTGGATGACAAGCCACGACCTGGCCGTCCCTGCTCAGCTGCCACTCCTCACAATGAACAGCGCCTCATCCATACAGATTGGCAGATAACAACCATGGAACGGTGTGCACGGCTTACTATCAGCTGTAATGCATTGGAAATGATGTTGGGGAAGCTGGATTATCACAAACTTTGTTCCAGGTGGGTCCCAAGGATGCTTACAAATGACCACAAAACTCAGCGAATGGAAGTCTGTCAGGATCTGTTGCACCAGTTTGAGGCTGAAGGTGACGCTACTACGAGCCGGAATCCAAAAGGCAGCCCATGCAGTGGCGACATCCGGATTCCCCAAGAAAAAAGAAGTTCAAGACACAGCCATCGGCAGGGAAAGTGATGTGCATGGTCTTTTGGAATAGGCGAGATATGATTTTGTTGGATTTCCTGGAGCCTGGTGAGACTGTCAATTCTGAATGCTACAAGATGATGCTGACTAAGCTGAAAGCCCACATTTCCCGAGTCAGGCCAGAGAAGCAGACAACCTTTCGCTTGCAACACGGTAATGCTAGACCCCATACCAGTTTGGTGACCACCGCGCACATTGTGAAGTTCAGCTGGACTGTCCTACCACATTCACCTTATAGCCTCATTTTAGCACCTTCAGACTTCCATCTCTTTGGGCCTATGAAAGATGGACTATGTGAACAACATTTTCCAGACAACAATGCTGTCATTGCAGCTGTAAGAAAGTGCCTAGCCTCTGCTGGCACAGACTTTTTATGGATGCAGCATACAGGCTCTTGTTCATCGCTGGCAAAAGTGCATAACAAATGGTGGTGATTATGTGGAAAAATAATATTAAGTAGCTGAAATCTTGCTCTATTTAACTGCATTATTATGCTTTCTGTATCTGTTGTAGTTTTCATTAAAGAAATAGGAGGCATTATATACGGAATGCTCCTTGTAATAAACTGAAATGCTGATATGTTCAATTCAGTTGCTTATTATATATACTCATATAACAGGATCATTATGTTGTGTCATGGCATAAAACCCCTGTACCTAAGTTCACTACTGGATGTGACCATGACACAGTTCCAGCCATGCCTGTCATAACAATCCATCCTCATGATATCCACCCATTTCCTCAGTTCTCCTAGTGGCACTTTGCCTAGAGATTTCTAACATAAACTACACGTGAATTCCTTGTCTCCACCATCCTAGCCACATGTCCAGCCTAGTGGTGCCTTCTACATTCATCAGGGTGATCAAATAAGGAAGGATAAGATGAACATTAAGGGTAACATGCACCAGGCAGACTCAGCAATGCATAAATACTTTGGTGTGAACAGGCTTGAGAAGTGAAGAACAGGATTATGCTGTCTGTATGCCTGTCATATGATTATAACTAGCCACAAATATGACAACAGCACAATGGATATTATTATAAATAACACTAAAGACTGTGATCTGGATATTTTTCAGTTTTGAAAGATAAGAGACTCAGTGAGAAACAATGTGAGAGCATACTGGTATCATGGATGACCTTAGTTAAGCTCCCATATGGTAAACATATATAGTTTCCAAACTGGTACACAATCTGTAAAGTAGTGACATTAAAGAACATGACAAGTTCATAAGAAGTGAAAATATGTTGTAGAGTAATATACTGTTTTATAACGCTGTTATGGTTCCTTATGAAGAACAATAATACCTAATGACCCCACTACATAAATTTAAGAATATCTGCAGCACTATAACAACATGTTACAGAAGATATAAGATGCATATTATTGGGTGGGAGGGACCCATCAAGTCAGTTTCTTGCTTCTAACAGTATGAGGGTGATAAATTTAAGGAGGGTGAGATGATCATGACATGATGCATATGTTAGGGGAATGAGAAGGAGATAAAAATAGTTCCTGTGGATGGTAAGGCAGACATCCTACTGGCTCACCAGCTAAAGGATCCCCTACACAAAAACCTTTATTGACTGCTGCTGGAACCACTGCACCACCACAGCCCAGATGAACATGTGAATGCTTTTCATTTGTACAACCCTCACAGGACATGAGGATGACAGGTGTATACAACTACTGCACAACAGTATCCAGTCAGAATTATTAGCAGTGTTTAACCTTGAGATTTTAAAACTAAAGTTCTGATAACTTTTGTGACAAAATGACATTAAATCTGACAAGTCCAAAACACTACTCACCCACAAGACTCTTTCTTTCGCGATAATCGGAAAACCTCTGCTCTTGACCTGGAGTAATAGATCGCCATTGTAACTTCATCTGAAAGTATTCTTCCACTTTTTGTTTTCGTAGCTTCTGTCTGTCAGCATGTGTTGAATCCCAAGGGAAATAACCCAGAAGAAACTTCCACACTTCATATCGGAGATTAGGTACCACTCCCTGTATGAATAATATTGCTGTAATCAGTAATACATTCACACCTGGGCAGCTCCATCCCTGTCTACCTGCACCAATGAGCCATTTTGCACTAACACATATTATAATCAAAGTTCTTTACTCTAATATGCAATTTATTTGACAGATTTTGTCCAGATATTCAGTGTTCATCTTGCAAAATGCTTACTAATGTTTGTGAGAATGACAGTCTGTGAAACCACCTTCTTTCCATACAACAGCCTGATCCCTTGGCCATTATATTTCTCAAAGAGAAAGGAACTTTAATCTCTTTTAAATTTTCTTTCCCTTCATTCCTGTCTAACACAGGCCCTAGTGATACAATATGCCCCATGCCTATACAGCTATAAATTACGGATATCTACAAAGAAATCAATTACATGCTTACTACTTCAGAAATGAAGTTTCCTGCACACCACTGGCTAGTGTGACAGTAAAACTAAGAATGGCTGCGATGGCGAGGGCTAGTACCAATTTACTCAACCAACCGAAAGAAGAGAGGTTCTAACCAAAGTGTTAATAAATATAATCACCCGAACTAGAACCTGTCATTCTCATTGCACGTACCCTCCTACATGTGACAATATTCTGTGGGTGTTACATTGGAAATATCTTTTCTGTGCTGATGTGGAATGATCCAGAATGTACTGCCTACAAATACCACAGAGAGATATTATGTGGAAAACCAAGACACAAACATAAGAGTATTAAAAAAGATTTTAAGGAAAAAGTTAGGGCTCAACCAATAAAGTCCAATGGCATGTTTCTGTATTTTTGATATTGGGGTCTTTTGTACAAAACGGAATATTTCAAACACCGTTCAATGTTCAAACATGACCTCACATCAAGAGCTAAATTATTTATGACTTTTTATATGTAATCTGACAATGAGTGGGTTTCCTGGTTTCCAATTTTTGTTACACGCTTGGGCATGGGAACTATACAAACTTAATTTATGAGGGAATTCTAAATATGTGACTCACCCCTCTGAATATGATGTCCTTCAATATTTCCACTTCCACAATATGACCATCTTCATCTTGAAACTGTGCCCACTGTTCTATAGATAATGGGGGGCCTCGAGGGGCAGGGGGGCGGGGTGGCAGAAGTGGTCCATTACGAAGATCTACAACTGCATATTCTTCTCCAATGGCATCAGCAGATGTCTCATTGAGGGTAAGGCTTCTATTTAGCAGTTCTGCAACTTCTTCTTCTCTCCTCTGTTCTGACGATTTGAACACTGTTAATGTTAACAAAACATACTTCCTTCAGCCCATGTAAACAATGTGACATGTAATTTTGCAGTGGCCACTACTGACACAGCATTTCTTCTACAGTTTCAAAGCTGGGAACCAAACTGTACATTTCCACCCTTGCTGTACGTGTAACCCATTCCAGGTTTGTTCCAGTTTCTAGCAATAAGTAGTAGCTCCAATGGAAGATGATCCACCAAATAGGGAACCCTTCTTTTATTTGAATATGGAGACAGAGACAACATCTCAAGCAATGCATATCTGAGACAAGTAGATAGCAGAGAATGTCCAAACAAAATACTGTTACACCAACTGTACAAACCCTTCTAAGCCAACACTGGACTTCTACTGGCAATATGCAAAGCTATGCTGACCAAACTGCACCATAGTTCAAGCGGTTAGTTGCTGGCTTCCCATCGCGGCGGCCCGGATTCGATCCTGGGTCTGGTCAAGTGGGATTTATGGTGGACAAAGTGGTGCTGGGGCAGGTTTTCTCAGAGTACTTCGGTTTCCCCTGCCATTCTTCATTCCACCAATTGCTCCACAATCACCCTCACCTATCATCTGGGGCTGTTACATTAGGCCAGAAGTGGCTGCAGTACAAGGGACTTAGTCCCACCCCACTAGCAATAATAACAAAATAATAAATATGCTGACCAAACATCAGCCTTTACAAACTGCAAGCATAAAAAACAAATGTCAGTATAAATTAGGGAACAGCCGTTTGAGTAACTTTAATTCCAATTTCAGTTCCTATTTGGCCGAGGGCACGCCAAGTAAACTGGCAACCGCAATTTCCAAGAATTGCTACCAGCCTGAGTTGAACACATTAGTGTTCGATTGAGGAAACGGCAACACAACTCAAAAAGACTGAAAAAACTCAATTTCCAGGCAATGGAGCATGCCAGTTTTCTCACAACTGCATTGCTGCATGGTTTCCTAGTATCAGCTGTTCCGTAACATGCTTCAGTGATTCATTTGTTTGTTAAGGTGGCATGAAAGGTTGATGAAGCTGCTAATTTTGTTTTTGTGCAGTTAACTGAGCAAAAGCCTGGTATATTTGACAAATGCCACTCAGGCTATGCTAGACGGGACAAAAGAGATTTGGCTTGGGAAAGAATTTCTCATGAGACAAAGGAGTCTGGATCCAAGTTAAGTTCTTTTGAAACAATATATAAGCACTTCAGTTTAAATTGTCACAGAAAAACAGATACACCCAATGTTTTCTTTTCCTATTATTGTATTTAAGCATCCTGTTGCACTAATATATCGTTTGTTTCACATATATTTCAATCTTAAATAGAACTTCTTGTATAGTCGCCCTTCTTCCACATTATATGATTCGGCTATATATGGCCATCATCAGGTGTCTTCTTGCTAAAATTGTTGCACTGCATGTCAAAATTTTGTTTCACATGTGACACATGATATTATCTTCCACTGAAGAAGGTAAGTGCACAAAATTAAAAAATAAAACCATGCATTACGTCGGATGAACATACTCACTTAAGACGATGTGAGTAACTAACCAAACATAAGTTTCCTCAGCGCGCACATGCTAATCTGGAAACTAGTTGCCTGCTCGAAATAGGAGACATTCCTCAAAAATTGCAGTTGTGTTGTGGCTGCCATATTGAGCTACATTTGTAACAGTAAAGCACAACAGACCACTGTAGGTCGCGGTGCAAGGGCCGAGAAGGCCCCCCATTATACATTCAATGATGGTTTAAAGTTTGGGCAATATGTATAATAGTTTGAGCCATACAGCAGAACCTCAAAATACTTACACCATATGTCAGTGAGCTTGGCAAAAGTTTCTAATGTAGTTTCATATGGACGGTGGTGTAGGTTTCTTACAAATTTCCACACTACATCTGTTGTGTTTTCTGTGAAAAGTTCCAACTCTGCAAATGACCGATCCAACTGACTTTCTGGCTCATCTGGAACTATATACAGATGCTTGTCCTTCTTGGATCTATATAAAGAAACAGAGAGAAGACATATATATATATATATATATATATATATATATACATATACATGTGTCCAGATGAAAGTTATCCAAAATAGAAAATTTATATCTTGGAAACTGTCATACATGTATCTGGTTTATGTCATTGGAAAGGAACCTGAGATGTACTCTGTTATTCGGACATTTTCATACTTCCACCTTTCATAAAACATCATTATTCATGTATATCTTTCAAGTTTCTATAGAAATGTAAAGAAAGAGCAATTCATGTAAAACAACCTGTATGACCTAAAACAATAATACATAGTCAATCAGTAGACCAGATCCAGTCTTTCAAATATATTTACTGGAAGAGTGCACAATTTCATAATTGTGTCCAGCATTTTTGCTGTTGTATTGAAATAACTTTATATACATGTAAGATTTGAGATTTTAACAGCATTCTTCAACTTTAATATATTTATATCATATTTTTGTTAAGCATTTGGGAAGGTATTCAGAAAGAAATTATATTTGTAATTATAGAAACATGGATAAATCATTAGATAGCCCTTATAACTGAGTCATACTGAATTCTCATAACCATATTTTTTAAATACACCATAAAGTATGAACATTTCAATGACTTTCTACTGTACTGTGCTTTGAATGTTGTAGTTTGGTAGCCAATTACAGACTGAGATAAAAACAAGATTACAAGTAATTATAACCGATTCACTAATTCATACATTTTACAGTTCACTACAGCACATACTAAGCCTTCTCAGTCTGTTGTGCCTTCATCAGTTGTTGCCTTGTGACGAAACCAACAACGTCCTCTGCGTCTGTGCTCATGTTCTTATTACCTGGTGACTGTCATGCAACCAACTCCCTGCTCCAACTATCCTACCTATAACATCTTGGCACAGACTGTATAGGAAACACCAATCCTCTATTGTTGTTTCCAACTGTTGCCGAGCAATGGGTTTACATGACACAATACGTTTACTGATTCTTGTTATTTAATGTCAAATTTCAAACAACACAGATCATATAACAATGAATGAGATGGAAAGATGATCATGGTGAATATGTAAAGATTTGGAATATGGTGGTTATGGCCTATCTGAAATTACTACTTGAAGAAAGCACAGAAAACCTTAACCAGAGTAACTAGGATTCGTATTCATATTGAGAGGGGGTGGGTTTCCCCATGTACTTAGACCAGTTATTGGTCCATTGTGCATCCCCCTTTAATTTCTACTGTCGCCATACCCCACCAGTAACGGTGTGTGCCATCAGCCCCCGTAGAGCCAATGAGGTCGGCCCCTGGTACCTTGATGCTTCCCCCATCCACCAGAGGCATTGGAGACTACTTGGGTGGGAAAGGGCCTGTAATTTAGCTTAGAGGTCTCCTAGAGACATGACGTTCGTTTACGTGCCGTAAATCTACGACACGGGACACACGGCTTAAAGTCCCTCCCGGAGGACTTGTTCCCTGAATTTTTCCGCCCTTAAATTTCCACGACCTCCGCCGGGTTTGAACCCGCGTACCTTGAGTCATGAGGTGGGAACGTTACCCCTAGACTACGGAGGCCGCTAGAGTAACTAGTAACACACACTACTGAGATCTGAGCACATTAACTCAGAATACAAGATCAGAACATTATAAGTACACTTATCTGCATGTGGAATATCAAAAACATTGGAATGCCATACTATCTGTCTAACATTCTGGTTTTGCATTTGCTAAACTTTTCATCAATCTATCTCACCTGACAGTTTTAATGTTTCCTTTCAGGGCAGCCACAAAACAGTCTGCATTACCATGCTGAAAGAAGAACACACTGTGTGTTGTTCCATCCCGCTCCATCAGGGTCACCTGCTGTCTATTTCTTGTAACACGGAAACTTTTAAGATGCGCCACTTCAATACGCACTGATCGACATCGACTTTGACTTTCATTACTGCCTGATTAGGAAAAAAACTGTCATTATCCTTATAAAGTAAAAAAAAAGTAAAGCTATTCCTGTAACAGGCCATGAAGGCCCATAGGGTTGTGAGATGTTGAGGGTCCCACATTATCTAGAATATCGGCTCAAAGATGACGGTAAGGTTGTCAGCCTTATGCGCTGGCCGCGCTTTACTCCCCAGGAAAATTATTTAATTCCTGGTACTCATTTCTGTTAGAGGCTGAGTGAACCCCAGGCCATAGTGTGGCCGGAAGGATTAGGTCATTATCCTTACTGACACCATAACTGGCTATACAGCACAGGCTCTTATTATCCTCCCATACATCCTACATCTCCCAAACTGTCTCCTCTCTTACAGTTTTCCAACCAAAATTTGAAGAATTTTATAGTCCCTCATGTGGCACCATATCACACCCCCTCATCATCCTTTTTGCTGTGACCACCCTGGCAATATTAAGTGAATGGAACAATTTATAAAATTCCTCACAGTGTACTCTTTTCCAGTCTGCTACTGTTCATTTTGGTTAGACCTGGTATGCTAATTTCAAATTTGAAATGACGAGTACCAACCTGTCTGCAGGCTCAAGTGTGTAACAATGTGGTGATAACCGAAATGTTCCAAAATATTACATACATTCTACACAGAGTTTTGTGCACATGATGCCAATTATTTCAACTGAAGAAGGAAAAAATTTACCACTTGAAGTACGATTCCTGCGTCCTACTGCATTTACCATTGCCCACTCCTGGTCATTTGTCTCTGAATCCACTAACACCTCTGTTGGCTTCCACTCTATACATTTCCCAATGCCACTCTGTAAGAGAAGAATAAAATTAGAAAATCAAGTTCCTGTTTGAAATTTAGGGCACAGTCATGATGTGCCTGTCTGTTGCTTGATTCAGCTAGTAATAAACTCAGTGGCCTGTAGTCTGCAAGTGAACTATATCGACAGAGCAACCGTCACTTGTTGGTGAAGTTAGTGCCAAATTTTGCAGATAGAGGGTGTCACGTGGTAAGCACAATGGTTCCCTCCAGCTGTTAATCTCAGTTTTTATAGACCAGAGCCACTATTCCCTTGAAATAGCTCCTCAATTATCCTCATGAGGTTGAGTGGACCCCGTTCCAGACCCACGATTTCTCAGAAAATCTGGTAGCACTAGGAATCGAACCTAGGATCTCTGGATCTGTAGCCAGGAACTCTGACCTCTAGAAAACAGAGGTGGTGATTCAGCTAGTAATATCAATATTATTCATGATACTTAGCCACGTCCTTTAAACTCTTCATTTAGTACTTCGTAACTTGAACAATTGAATTTGTGATGCAAGAAGAGCATCAGTGCTATTCTGTATAGGAAAGTATAGTTCTTTGGAAAGTACACAACTTTTACAGGGTATGTTCTTAACAAAATAAAAAATAACAAGCTGGACATGCAAATCATTCTGATGTGATAACTGTTGAATCACTGTAACTTCATCTGCGAAATATGTGTGATGACCCACTAAGCTACTTACCAACTAATGCTATACATATGTCAGTTACTTTAACAAACCACTGCTATTTACAAGAATGTAAAAGGTGATAAATTAGCTATAGCTACTTATTTGTTTTATTGACCTGTCTATTAAAATGAAACATTTATAGGCAAGCAGGTAGCAAAAGTTCTTCCCTCAGCTTCATGTTTTAATATGAGACATATCAAATCAAGATAAAACAAATAAACTCATGGCAATCTGACAGTTTCAAGTTTACTAACATGAATAGAAACATTCTCACCAATGTCTATACTGAAATGATGTGCAATGAATTAAAGCTACTGCAATTTTAATAAAGCAGATCACTTTACTGGGATAATTACAAGACATCCTTGTTGAATGACAAACCACGTTCAGAATATGGAACAAGTCAATGTGCAATACCACATATTTACAAAATACCTAAAATGTCGTATGTCTCATGACACATGATCAGAATAAGACATACTACAACACAGCGGAATACTCCAGAGAAGCTCTATACATCTGCTCTTGGATAAACATTAATTTTGAGGGACATCTTATGACCACTATTCTGTTTACTCTCATCATATATCTAACTGTCCCGCAGTTAATTCTCTGGCATTCACAATTACGAATGTACACGGATGCAAACCAAATCGCCTTCATTCATTCTGAATCAAAATAATACTTACATATTCAATAATACTCAAAGTACCAGAACAGTGAGAATCGTCATCGCGGATCTGATTTTGGCTTTTAACGAGTACTCCATGGTGACTATACAATTCCTAAAAAAGGCAAGTGTCCATTTATAAAAAAAAATTAACGAACTTAACGAGAGAATACGATCTGCAATAGAAACCTGCAAATACTGTTAACAGCGGACATCACTTAATTTCACACAACCAATATTATACAAACCACCCCTTGATCATTTAATTCGTCCATTTCTTTCGTTCGCCTGCTTCGTCTTCTTACAATAACAAAAACAAACCCACTAGCGGTCCATTCTATACCTCCATCCAACCCACACCCCTAAAATGTGACTCTGACGACTCTGACTCTGGCCACTCTGACGCACTCTGACCACTCTGACGCGCTCTGACGACTCTGACCACAGACTCTGACACTAACGATTCCTACCGGCCGCGTTCAATGTTATTATCCGGCTACGTCGCCGTCGTATCGGCACGAATTTCATTACTCTGCCATCTACTTACGGCGTTCAGATTAAAGCCGCCAAATTGCTACAGCTACTGCCGAGAGCTCAGTCAATAAAAACGTTAGCTAATATCCACGGTACAAACCTACACGTACTACGCATGTATGTTTTCTTTCTATAGGAGATATTCAGATTATAGTAAAAGGAATGNAAGAATTAAATAGTATAGATTTTCTGAGGAAAATTACGTAATTCATTTTGCTTTATATAATAATATATAATATAAATACTATATAAATACTAACAGTTACTATACTAATAATATACTAATAATATAAATACTAACAGTTATACTGTATTTAAAATATGTTTGGGTAGAACATTCCTGGCTCCGAATACGTCAACCTCCCTGCAGACAACATTAGCAGCTGCTGCGCATCTAGCAGAGGGACAATTCTTAAATGAAGGGCAAATTTTGAAAAATNTGTATGTTTTCTTTCTATAGGAGATATTCAGATTATAGTAAAAGGAATGTAGGCATTTAGTTAGTCCCAGAACTTCTTATATCACCCTCCTATACATGCCCAAGTAGTCCATGTGGACATCTCCATCCAGGTTTTGCGAAAAGATAAGTTTATTTTTACCCATTTCTTGTTTTACCCCATGTGCGCTTACATCCTCCTTGGCTTGGTTCATTAAAATAATACTTCGAGAAAGCCACAAATTGTTTGAGAACAGGGCGCTGAGGAGAATATTTGGACCAAGGAGAAATGAAGTTGGAGAAAGCTGACTGAGTATAATGAGAAGCTTCATAACTTGTACACTTCATCAAGTATAATTAGAATGATCTAGTCAAGGAGGATGAGGTGGGCAGGTCATGTAGCACGAATGGGGCAGACGAGGAATGTGTATAGGGTATAGGTGGGAAAGCCAGCAGGAAAGAGGGCACTAGGAAGACCAAGACGTAGGTGGGTGGATAATATTAAAACGGATCTTAGAGAGATAGTATGGGTGGTATGAAGTGGATTGATTTGTCTCAGGATAGGGACCAGTAGAGGGCTCTTATGAACACGTTAATGAACTATCTGGTTCAATAAAATGCTGGGAAGTTCTTGAGTAGCTACACAATTTACGGCTTCTCAAGAATGGCCCAGGCCCATGAAGTTAGTTAATTAGAAAGACGAAAGTTATTAAGTTCATAATGATGAAATCGTCATCGGTCTCTTATTACTCACCCCCCAACCCCTCCTCTGCCACCCACTACACCACTTAGGTTCAGACTCACTCAGCGCCCCTTTCCAGACATTCTCAATATATGCTCCTCTGTTAACGCGAAACACAACATTTCACACCCATACAAAACATTAAGTACAACTATGGTTCTGTACATGCCTCTACGTTTCTACACAGCAAACGTAAATATGTAAGATTCTGTCCCACCCAGCCTCCCAATCAATATATACCAGGAATAAAGTGGTCGGAGTAGGACAGGCATACAGTTGCAAGAAACTTGAAGAATATTAACATCAGAAACGATCAAAATAATACAAACAGCAAAAAGAATGGCAAATAAAAAACAAAATATCATAAAACGAACTCAGCATAGCAAAAGCAGGCTAATGAGAGCCATATTCATACTCACAACATAAGAACGAGAACAAAAAGTAAACGACTTTATACATGACAACTAATTCACAATAGTCAACAATAACCGAACACAACACTACCGAAAAAACTTAAAGCAAACACCAAAGCAATGTAGCGGAAATATATAGGCAGGAACCCCATAACTCTAAAACTTCAAGCTGAAATAAGATTACACAAAGAAGTAACACCAATCAGACTAATAAGCAAATGGAATAATGGGCCAGCATATGAAAAAAAAAACACCTAAAGAAATATTACGTAATAGCCTACAATTACCGCATGAATTCAACATCGCTAACTATATTAATCTAATTACAGACTCACAATCTGTGAAAATGAATGAAGATATCAAAATGTGCTCATATTTACACTAATATACCGGAAATAAGATGTTATAAACGTAATAACAAAAGCATTAACCCAACCCAGAAATAGGTTAAATTAACCAAAAGGATATAATAACACACATTGAAAACAATGATGGAACAAAACTAAGTTCAGTTTGACCGACAATTCTAGAAGCAAACCAAGAGATTAGCAATGGATGTCCCAACGTCATGAATATTGGCAGAAACGTACATCCAACACATGGAACATAAATAGATATATCCACTTTTAATAACGTAAAATATCAGATAATCGGATACTTCAGATACTTTGGCGATATTGTCACAATTTACAATCGAAGGCAAACAAATATAGACGAAACCTTAGCCAAATTCAATAATCAACAAACAAATATAAAAGCGCCGTTGAAACAGAATAGCATAACTCTATTTATTCCCTAGATCATACAACGTCTCGTGACACAACAGAACTAGTACTACGTATTTGCAATATATAAGAAACACAGATATCGTAATACCGAATGATTACTGGGACCCATATGAACACAAAATATCGAGTATCATCAACCTAATTTATAAATTACACACATATAGAATAACAGAAAAGACAAAGAAAGTAAGGTAAACACCATTAAATATACAGTACACAACAACAAATATATTATAAACCCAGACACAAAACTTTCCAACGAACACAAAATAACACTGATCCACGAAACCGGAAAGCTAAATTGGTTATTTTATAGTAGAAAAGAAACGTAAAAATCACAATATTTTTAAGGAAACAAATAAAAATAGGTTTTCGAACACGAAACCCAATACGTAACATAATGAAACATCGTCTGACAATAGATAAATGCGAAAAAAGTGGCAGTTGACAAATGAAAATGCATGTGCTGCCCACAAAAATACGTTGAGCAAGCAGGTCGAAATTTCATATGAAACATAAAGAATGTATATAGGCAATTAGGAATAATGATAGCAGTTCAGGATATTCGAAACATATACTTAACACGGGATATGGATACGGATATTTGACTAATAATATGGACGATAAATGATTCAAACTCCGTCCCAAGTGCAAACAATATATATTATATGTCTTTGGTCTTGTTCTCTTCCACACTACATGTTTCGGCCTCTATCGGCCATCATCAGGTGTATACTCTTAACGTTGCTGCTACACTGAACCCAGTCTAAAATTTAACATTTAAAAACACACTGTTATTTTCTTCGTATTATCAACATCTACCTCGTTGATATGTGTCTGGTATGTAGATTATATTGCACACGTCAAATTTGATTTTCCTGTAGTAGCACTATAAAATCTTTAGTTATGATTTTAAAATCCTTTAAAATTTCTCTAAATTTTAAATTTAAAATTTAAAATTGTTAGGGTTACTCGCCCTATGTCTAAAGTGCTGGAGCGGCTAGTTCTTGTTTCCACACTGTACAGGTGTTATTCAGTGTAGTCTTCCTGTGTGCGTGCCGCTGCTTGTCTTTACTACGTGTTAAATTTTAGACTGGGTTCAGTGTAGCAGCAACGTTAAGAGTATACACCTGATGATGGCCGATAGAGGCGGAAACATGTAGTGTGGAAGAGAACAAGACCAAAGACATATAATATATATTGTTTGCACTTGCCCCGGAGTTTGTATCATTTATCGTGTAGAGTGCAACAGGATGCTTAAGTATAATATTGTAATACTATGGACATTATGAAAATGTGGGAACCTCAACATCTCACAACCCTATGGGCCTCCACGACCTGTTACAGGGATAGCTTTACTTTACTTTTATGGACATTATAAAACAAACAAAACGAGAAAGACACTTTAATACATAAGAAGGACACCACATATATAAATGAGTAAAAACAGATTACATATGAATGACACATACACTGACACACATAATCCGACATTTGAAACACTACAAGAACTACACACTAAATGTCAGCAAATATACCCCACGTACGCTATATAATAAAGTACCAACTCCACATATACTCATAACTTGCTCATTTATTAGAACTGAAAATCAAGGTATATTTTGCCCAAACTTGTTATCTTAAGTCTTGCGTTTTTCTAGATAATTTACCAAGGGATGAAGGCGACAGATTCTTAGGATATGCCTATATTTCATAACTTTCCTCCCCCATATAGGTTTTCTGAAAATGTTGTAATCAAATTTAATTATCTTTCCGACCCTTCAATGCTGACTTCATTTACACGTCTTCTGTACAGGTTTACTCCCCTTACCACCCACCTAAAATCACACACCTGTGCCAAGAATCAGATCTAGCTAGTCGCTTCCAATTAAAAATAGGGCCGCGCCATAGCTCAAGCGGTTAGTCGATGGCTTCCCACCGCGGCGGCCCGGGTTCGATCCCGGGTCTCGTCAAGTGGGATTTGTGGTGGACAAAGTGGCGCTGGGGTAGGTTTTCTCCGAGTACTTCGGTTTCCCCCGCCAATCTTCATTCCACCAATTGCTCCACAATCACCCTCACCTATTATCTGGGGCTGGTACAATAGGCCAGAAGTGGCCGCAGTACAAGGGACTTAGTCCCACCGCGCTAGCAATAAAGAAAATAGTCCCTTCCAAGCCTGGACAAAACATAAGCGAGTCGTATTAATCCTTCTGTATTAGCGGAGATGGTGAAGTACTTTCTCCAAAGCAGCTCGTATCCTGCTTTCACACGGCAGGTGTTGATACAGCGAGATGCACATAACGCAGAATTTACTGTTCATGTCAGTGCTGATGTAAGCGAGTACTACACGCTGTTATGCATGGATCACAGAACCGTTAGATGTGATTATACATACAAAAAATACACGTTTTTAGTCTGAGTTTACTTTGAAGAAAAACTGAGTAACCTTTAGCAAAATATTAACATCAACAACTAAAGGATGTTGTTTTGGAACAAATATGCAACAACGAAAGTTATTATTGGAGATATCACTGCCCACGTGCGCAGGGCATACAATTCTTAGTTCTTATCAAGAAGTGAAAGAGGGTGAGATGGGTTAGGGAATGTAGAATGTATGGGGAGAAGAGGAATACGTTCAGGATTTTGGTAGGAAAGTCAGAAGGAAAGAGTCCATCAGGAAGGCCTAGACGTATGTGGGAGGAGAGAAATAGTATAGGATGATATGAACTGGATTAATCTGGCTCAAAACATGGACCAGTGGCGGGCTCTTGTGAACACAGTAGGCAACCTTCGGGTTCCAGGAAATTCTTGAGTAGCTAATTGACAGCTGACTTCTGAAGACGGACTCAACTCCATGGAGTTAATTGGTCAAATAAGGTTAAGCTATTTCTGTAACAGGCCGTGGAGGCCCATAGGGTTGATGTACGTCGGGGCTCTCATATTTTCTAGACAGTCGGCTGACAGATGGTGTGATTGTCATCCTCACGTGTCGGCTGCCCTTTGCCCCCAGGAAGATTCCTGGTACTCATTTCTGTTAGAGGCTGAGTTGGCCCGATGCAGCTTTGTTCTCGTCGTGCCCACTAAATTTATGCTGCCAATCTCATGTCCCTTGTATAAATGATCTGACAGTACTAAGGGTAAAAGGCAAAGTCGTCCCTGTACTTTATAAAAAAGGTAAATCTATCCCTGTCAGAGGCCGTAAAAGCCCATAGGGTTGTGAGACGTCGAGGCTCCCTTATTTTCTAGACAATCGGCTCTCAAATTATGATGAGGTTGTCAGCCTTACGCGCCGGCCGCCCTTTACCTTACAGGTTGATTCCTGGTACCAATTTCTGTTAGAGGTTGAGTAGGCCCCAAGGCCATATTGTGGCTGGAAGGATTAAGTCAGATCCAGTAACTTCATCGAGAACTGAACCTGCGGGCTTCCGGCTTGTAACATAGTGCCTCAACCAACTACACTATCGCGGGCCCCTTCATAAAGATGTATAGGGGAGTGGTAGTGAGCTCCATGCATCGGTAAATATGGCACTAGGTGGAACGTAGTGGTCAGACGTCTCAGCAACGTTCTCCCAGGGAAAAGAGCCCCTGTGCCCTTTTAGTAGGAGTGGGGTCGAACTCAGAAGCAGTCTGAACTCCGTGGAGGAAAGAAAATCACTCTCACATATATTCTTGATGGAAAATGAACGGCGGTCGCCCAACGCACAGACTACTTCTTATTTCTTCATCTTCTTCTTCCACTGTTGAAGTCAGGACTTCTGGCATGTTCCCATCAGAATTCATATGGCACTGCAGAGAGTTGGTAGGACTCCTTGAACGGGTGATCAGCTCTACCTCAAGGTCGCTAACTACACAGCACAATACAAACAGAAGAAACGCGTCGGACAAACATACCTCGAGTGTGATTCGAACTCACAAACCCAGTCTTTGAGCGGGCGAAGCTAAAGACTGAGAAACCACTGTGATCGGATATCTATTTCTCCGAACTGAAAGCTGTGGAGCTCACTATTCTGTTTTCCCTTGGCACTACAGCCCCAGTGGTCCTAGGCCTACCTCCATGAACTTCTCCGTTCACTTCGATTTTTCTAGATCTTACACATTCGGTAGGACTCCTTGGGCGGGTGATCTGCTCGTCGCAAGGCCTCTACCTGTACATAAACACAGAAAAACACACATACAAACTAAACATTCACGCCCTGAGTGGGATTCGAATCCACGATCCAGGTTTCCAAGCGAGCGAAGACAGTGCATGCCTTAGACCGCTCGGCTACCGTGACCGACCGGAACTCACTATTTGGCCTACAAAATTCCCTCACGTCTCCTGTCACATGACCACATACTTCATTTTCAACAGCCAATCCTCAATATATGTCGTTGGATATGAATCATTGGTTAAGAATAATGACACGACACTGTTAGTGAAATTAATATTATTGTTAACATTTGACATCTACATTCTGAACAGCAGTGACATCCTTCAGGAACGCAAGACAGCGTGCATCAGTCGCCCCATTCTGCAAGGTTACATGTGGCGATGATTGTGACTTCAGCCAGTCTGTTGCCTGCTCTTCAGCTGATCTGCTAGAGCTTTCACGAAATGAAGGTCATTTCTTGCTATTTCCAATAATTTCGTTTCTGATTCAAAATATTCGGCACTTCCTCGGATAATATTTTCTGCCGTTTCTTGGATACTGGCTTCCAAATCTGGATCCTCTTGACCAGCTGAAAAGAGCAGTTCCATTAAATACCATGCTTACATTTGTATGCACACACATGACAATTTAATCAATGTCTTTATATGCGCAGGCGTACGCATTCTAATTTTCAACTGGAACACTAAGCACATTTTTTTTCCCCCTTGGCACTACAGCCCCAGTGGGCCTAGGCCTACCTCCATGAACTTCTCCGTTCACTTCGGTTTTTCTCGATCTTACACATTCGGTAGGACTCCTTGGGCGGGTGATCAGCTCGTCGCAAACACAGAAAACACAGAAAAACGCACACACACAAACTAAACATCCATGCCCTGAGTGGGATTCGAACCCACGATCCCGGTTTCCAAGCGAGCGAAGACAGTACATGCCACGCTAAGCACATTGAGATTTATATTTTCCAATTGCAGGCATTGTAATTAACTACTGAATGTCTGTACAGAAAGCACTGACGACCAGAATGTTAGCTAAAATTTTCATTTCACTGGGCAGGTATTTTAGGAATAATCGGGAGGTCCTCGTTTCCAAAACCGGCAGTGACCGAGGTTCATCGCTCTAATTGTCTGCTCCTCCATACAAAGGACGCGGTAATATTTCAGCTGGACCGCACCCGCTTCCTTGCTAATCCCTTCGAATTCATTATTCGCCAGCTATCCTACCATTAGACTCTGAGGTATGTCAATTTTGTGAAGAAGTTCGCAAAAAGTAAATTTCAAAGAAGGTGCAGAGAAACATGTATATAAAACGCCCGTTTTATTGTTACCAGTGTTATCATGAAGGCCATATATAAAGTGCTGAGATCACGGAGCATGGACTCAGTTGTGACTGGACGGCAGCTCAGGTTAATTCAAGCAGAAAAACTTTTGACTTTCATTCAGGATTTACAAGGTCTTGAGTTGGCACCGGCTGTGCTGAGGCTTTCTGTTTTTTCCTTCAGCTTTCTACATGTAATAATAATAATAATAATAATAATAATAATAATAATAATGGCATTACAATTGGCCACGGCTACTTCCTCCCCAATTCTTTGCAGTTCCTTCATATAGGCCCTAAATGTTGATTGTTAGCTTTCGGTGACGGCTTTGAAACTGCATAATAAATCGATTTACAGCGTCGAATAAGGGCCAGGATAGCTCAGTCGGTATAGCGACTGGCTACGAGCTGGATGACCGAGGGGTCAGAGTTCGAGTCCCGGTGTGGTAAAGAATGTTCTGTTCTCAGTTTCGTCCAGACCAGCTCTGGGACACACCCAGCCTCCTATCTAATGTAAAGCTGACCACTCACCTCCACCTAGAGGTCAAGAAAACGTGGATCTATACATCCATTCCCCCATACGTTTTCATGGCGTAGTGCTTAATTAGTTAAGCACAAGGAAATCCTTCCTTTGCCTTCACAGCGCCGAGTAGTAAGAAGACTGTGCTTGAAGAACTTGAAAGTGTATGGGAGGAAATGGGCATAGTTATCATATGCCAAAATCCTGACATTCGAGGGGAGAAACTGAGGAGTACCACAAGAAATCTCGAACAGAAGAGCCCAGCTCCGGATCGAAGTCCGAAGCACTGACCTCCCGATTACAATGCTGGAGCATTAGTCAGCGGAATAGAATGTTCGATCACTTAATCATCTTTCAATTTATATAGCGCCGTTGATTATCTTATGAACCAGCTTGTAATATATTTACGGATCACCTTCATAATGGGAAGAAGAAGTAATTTTCTATTTCACATCCTACTTCGGAATCACCAGCATGAATAGACTAAAATCATGGGAAATATCAGCCATGTTTCCGGACAGGATACAAATGACCGTACTCTGTATGATGGTGATTATTATATCTCACATTGACGTATCTGGAGAAGGCGATCGACTTTAACTTTCAGTTCAAAAAATTCCTTCAGCAGTTCATCCTCCACTTCGCGAGCTGCTTTGAAAATTACTGTGTCTCTTTGGGCTTGCTCCTGAAACTCGAGGATGGCATCGCCTGAAATGCAGAGTAAATCATTATTGTTACGTGTCACAGTGACTAAAGACGGGGTTTGGATTGGTAATTGAATTTATTGGATATTTACTGGCACATTATAACAAATGTACGTTGCTAGAAAATGTCTGATGCTGATTTTGTGTCCATGGAATGAAAACGGGGCTGGGGCAGGCGTTCCATTTGTTCTTTCACTGATCCGGCCTTGTATGTAAGGGACAGTGATCTTACAGCACATTTTACGGGCATGTTAAAGTTAAGCGTTTTCATTTCTTTTCACAACAGCATATCTAACGTCCCAAGCTGGCAGTCAAGAACACTCGTAGAGAGGCCTGCTATTATACTGCGAATAGTTGCAGTCGCACTAAGGTCCTGGGTTCGACTCAGCCGCTAACAGAAATTAGTACCAGGAACCTTCCTGGGGGTATTCTTTTTTATTGGTAGTAGGGTGGGACTAAGTCCCTTGTACTGCGGCCACTTCTGGCCTATGTGCCAGCCCAAGATGATAGGTGAGGGTGATTGTGGAGCAATTGGTTTAATGAAGATTGGCAGGGGAAACCGAAGTACTCGGAAAAAACCTACCCCAGCGACACTTTGTCCACCACAAATCCCACTTGACCAGACTCCGGGATCGAACCCGGGCCGCCGGGATGGGAAGCCATCGAGTAACCGCTTGAGCTATGGCGCGGCCTTCTTGGGAGTAAAGGGAGGCCGGCACGTAAGGCTGACAGCCTCACCTCCATCTGTGAGTCGACTGTCTAGAAAGTGTGGGGGCCTTGACGTCTCACAAATCTATGGGCCTCCATGGCCTATTACCGTGATAGCTTTACCTTACCCAAGAGGCCTGCATTACAACACTGTGTTTTGCAACGCGCTTGCCCGAAGAGCAATAACTTATTCTTGAAATCAGATGGACCAAAGCGAAGCATCAGCAGTGCTCTAATGGAATCGCCAGTCTTACCTGCTCTGGTAAATGAAACCTGGAAACAAAAGAACATGAAATAATAACTCATAAAATAATAGCAAACACATGAAGTCTATCTCATAATGCTTACAGAAATATACACATTAATTTAAGTGGATATTTTCCTCCGGTAGATGGGGAAGTATCGGGTACCACTGCCAGTAGAGGGGCCGAACTCGCTGGCTGAACGGGGCTGATAGCGAGCACCAGTACCGGAACGGTATGGCGACTGGTAGAATATCAAAGGGGGACGTACAATAGATCAACAACTGGTCGCGGTGCATGGGGAAATCCACCCCCTCCAATAATGAATGAATGAATGAATGAATGAAGTGGATATTTTCATAACTTGACATCACTACTCGATTCAGATGATCGAGTTATCATTCTGAAGGAGCGCTCGACAGTTAATAATCTCATGACTGAGTCACTGAACTACCCGAATCATAAGCAAATTCTTACAAATGGTTTGTCTGGGCAGTGAGCGGTTCGAAATAAATTCTGAACATCTCGTCATACGTCGATCTGTTTTACTTATCTGAAAATGGTTTATGTGCGGCACCATAGCAATAATCCTAAAAAACAAATGAAGGCTGAATACCCAGATGAAATTCTATGAAGCTATGGCAAAGAGGACTGGCTTATGTGGCTGTGAAGCTTGGGTCATGACGGCCAGTTACAAAAGGAGATTTCAGGCTGCAGTGATTCCATTCATGAGATATGTGATTCTATTGTCCGAACGAGATAAAATTTCAAATGATATTAGGAAATAACTACATGTGGAAAATTTGAATGACGCTGTTAACAAATACAAAGAGAGATGGATACGCCGTGAACTACGCATGACTGAAGATATGATTCTCAGACAAGATGGTGGACTATCAACTTCAGGGAACGATAAAAAAAGATCGGGGAAAAACGTGACAAACAATAACAGGCCTTGGTCCTAATACTTGAACTAGGAGGAAAAGAAGGTTTATTTTCAATGATGTTGACACGTATTTATGGTGCATGACTAACAATGACGTGTTTCTGATTGCATTAATTGATCACTCCTTTACAATCACTCGTAATCAGGGTAACTACATGAGAACGCGTTTGTCAATTCGTTTCCTAGCAATATGTCTACATGTCACAACATCATTAGCTCAGATTATGTAGCGTCGAGTGAATAATTATTAACGAAAAGGAAGGGATGTAGAAGGAAGCGGTCGTGGCCTAATTCGAAAGAATATTACGACATTTTCCTGGATGGACTGAGAAAACTGCTTAAACTTCGATCACGATACTGGATGCACCGGCCGAAATTTGAAGCAGGCACCTCCAGAATATTGTGACATGAACGCCAGCAGGGGGAGCAACTGCTAAGCGACGGCTGCTAATATGGTTTTCAAGTAATAAATCAACTCGCTGGAATCGAAGAACTGTTGGAGATGTTTTCTATGCTGTCAATCTGTAAGGGACAGCACCAAGACTGATTGGCTGACTGATCGTTGACTTTGACTTCGAACAAATCACGACTCAAAGTGTAAGCAGCGTAGTCAATGTGTGTGTATGTGTGCGTACGTGTTCTTCCTGTCCTGCCCTAGCAAGACCCGTTAGGATCTCCGGAAGAATCTGCTGATTCAGCAAGTTCTAAGGTCTAGAATACCATTTCCTCTCCGATCCTTACCAGAAAGCACTTCAAAAATACTGCAACCACCGAAACTTCGGAGACTACTGGCGCCCAGACCAGACCTTCTACCTTCCGAACACATCCTTCAAACGGCAACAGGAAGGACTGAAAAAGCATGTGCTCTAGTGGGTTTGTAAAATGTGGAGACCAGCTATGGAGGTATAATTAAGTGTAGTCACGAGTCTTGTGTTAAAGTGGTCAATAAATCCAATCTCCAACAAAAATCTCATGTCTAGTCACTCATACAAGTGACAATACTTTATAGTACCTAACTCACACAGTAATTACTCCAATTAAACGTTGATTATCATAATGAGCGGTTATAGGTCATAATAGACTCAGATTTAGCATATGCTGTAGTTAAGATCTAAAAGTCTGTGACGACGTTATATTGCTGCAAGTACGTCTATTTAAAAAAGACGTTCTGTTTCTTTTATAAAACAACGTTGCGGAGACTGGATTCTGACCCCGTCCTCAGGTAAAACAGGACGTTTTTTTAAAAAATAGACAAGACGATGGATAATGTCCAAAAACATAATACTTGTATGCTGTAGTGATTTGTGAAGTGTGTAAATCACAGTGAAGATACTGCAGACTGAGAAGTCTCAGTTTATGCTGTAGTGATTTGTGAAGTATGTAAATCACAGTGAAGATACTGCAGACTGAGGAGTCTCAGTGCGTGCTGTAGTGATTTGTGAAGTGTGTAAATCACAGTGAAGATACTGCAGACTGAGGAGTCTCAGTGCGTGCTGTAGTGATTTGTGAAGTGTGTAAATCACAGTGAAGATACTGCAGACTGATAAGTCTCAGTGCGTGCTGTAGTGAACTGTGGTGTGTATGTGAATTAGCGATAGCGCTGTAGTTTCTTGTAGTTCCGAGTTAAGAATCTAATGAATCCAATTATCAACCCTAACCCCACGTCTAGTCACTAAGTACGTGGACAATACTTTATCTCTGTGTACACAAATGAATAAAGAGATGTGTACCAAATAATTAAACTTTGGCTCACATGGGCACTGTAGACAATACTCACCTGAACCAAAAGCGTAGCTGCGAGAATCAACACCAATTTGGACCTCATTTTCTCTTGTATATTGGTTCTGCAAAAGGAAGTTTTTGTAGTCAATATATTAAGGATGATTTTCCACGTAAGTAAGAGGATGTGTGTTGTAGAGCTCACGCTCCTCTCTCCTTCACTCTTCTGTGAACTAGTGTCAGAGCGCAACCCACTGGGCGGACTATATTCAGTTCAAAATCGGATAATTTCTTAGCGATATTCATCTAAGCAAGGCCACAAAGAAAGTTTTAAGCCTTACATGCGCCGTTAATGAAAGCTTGGCGAAATTCAATATGCGACATTTATGCGTAGGTTTAGTCTCCCATTTTAATTTTTAGTCACATAGGCTGATTACAAAGCCTACTTTTCACAAGGTCATAAGTGAACGTTTCCATACGTATCAAAAACCGTCAATATTGTGGCGGCTCATGTTGACTGACTGCAATGACTACTTTGCTTAAAGCGACAAATGAACTTTCTCATCAATTCAATACTTTGTTCTACAATATGCATTACTATTGTGACCCATTGCTAGGCAACGTCTCGGCAAACACATCCCCGCGGCAGCCAAGGAGCGCAAAAATAGGGCGTCTATTGCTAGGCAATCTATCAGTAAACACGCTTAAAACAATACGGGACAATAGAAGGCGATGTTTTCCGTGGATCCGCCCCGAGACTATATAAATAGAAGTTTAAAGGGATCAGTTTTTATCAGAAGTTGAGAGAATTAAGTTGAAGAAGAGTTAATTTGAGTTAGTTGTCGTCAAGATGATAGTCTAAGGTGACTGAAAAGAAGACTTAATGTGTGATTTCAAGTGACAGTGAGACCATTATAAATCCGTTGCCAGGATACGACTAGTGAAGACTGAGAAACCTACTGCATGTGTAACGGTGAACTGCAAAGTGTGTAGATCAGCGATAGCGCTGCATTGCCTGTAGTCCCGAGTTGTGAATGTATAAGGTGTCAATAAATTCAATAATCCAATCCAAAACCCGTCTTATAAGTCACGCACTCCCATTACAGGTGATGTTATGTTACCGAAATGTGAATTTTTCCTAAGTCAATAGAAAGTCCGTCCAGTGTAACAATTTGTAGGTCACTTCTTTATCACTTCTGCCTTACATGTGTCGGTTTAATACAACCATCATCAGAGGCACATAGTACAATCATGAAAACACTGTCGTTGTTTAAGATGTACACAGTTATGTTTGCTGCGTGGACGCTGCTACAATGTGTCGACGTGTAAAAGCACAACACTTGCTAGGATTGTTGAATGCACTATCAATCCTCACATTCCATCCTAATTTTTCCTATTTTATTTAATACTTATGTAGTTGACTGATATACTGTAATTTAGCTTAGTAAGCTGCAAAGAATTCCGCCGGGAATTTCCTGCACTGCAACTTTGTTTAGCCTTACTGTGAGCACCGTCTTATGGACCTTCCTTTTCCTCCTTTGTTCGCATAAGGACATCAATTCGCTGATTCGTGGATTTTCGTTCAAATCGGTACTAACAACCTGCTCTTGAATAACATACCGACTTCTTAGTTTGGTTGTTCGGTTATTTGAAAATTCAGAGGTTATGTAAGGAGCGTCGAAGGGGGCACGAAGGATAATTCCGAGCGTAGAGGAACGTGGGGAGAACAGATCGCCTTCTGTTTTAACGGGAGAAGACAAGAAATTTTCCGTCAGGGTAGCTGGTAATTTGGTGGATGTTTGAACTTAATATTACCTCCAGAATACAAGCTTTGAGCTTTGAGGCTTCAGCGTCCCGTTCCTTAACAAGCTTGTACGGACAGTGGCAGTAATAAAACATGTGTGGGTACGGCATGTTGGTATTGTTTCTGTGTTACTTGGAGTGTGTACTTTACTGCGGCATTAGGGACTAAATTTACGCTTCATAATAATGAAGTCCAACATTAAAATAATATAAAACACGGGCTTCAATAAGATTTTCTAAATAAAAGCGACGATAGCTGAAAACAGAGATACTTTTGTTGCCAGATCCATCTACCAGGAAAGTTAGTACTACAGGGCGTTCAATCAAGGAGGACACTTCGCAACACCGCTGATCGGGCCCAACATTCCTCAGAGATTGCTACTGTAACTGCTGATAAGGGAATAAGTCATGAGGAATGTTGGGCCCGGGCAGCGGCGTTGCGAAGTTTCCTCCTTAACTGAACGCTCTGTACTTACAAGCAGCTCGTGAGCACCCCAGTGACTTAAAAAATGTCATTTGGTGAACTGGAACATAAATTCACTGAAACAGAGTCCACTATAAACTGTGGACTCTGTTTCAGTTCCTCCCATATTTATGAAACTGATGTTCAAAGTTTTTCCAGTTAGCAGTTTCTTCAAATGTAAGACAATATTAAGGAACGTAACCTAAGTTGGGGCCGGTCACGGTAGCCGAACGGTCTAAGGCATGTACTGTCTTCGTTCGCTTGGAAACCGGAATCGTGGGTTCGAATCCAACTCAGGGCATGGATGTTTAGTTTGTGTGTATACGTTTTTCTGTGTTTGTGTACAGGTAGAGGCTTTGCGATGAGCTGATCACCCGGCCAAGGAGTCTTACCGAATGTGTAAGATCTAGAAAAACCGAAGTGAACGGAAAAGTTCATGGAGGTAGGCCTAGGCCCACTGGGGCTGTAGGACCAAGGGAAAACAATCTAAGTTGGAAGTAGAGATAAAAGTCATACTTACAGACAAAATAGCAGATTATAGTAATTTCATAAACGGGAATGAGGTAGAAATTTGACATTGGTTTATTTGTGTTGAGACGTCCAAACTGCACTATATCTCGAATTTCCTGATTTTTGATGTGTTAAAGACAAAATAAGCAAAATTACAATAGTCCTAGTATTTTCAAAGGCAAGTTAATATTTTACTTGGTGAGTACGACTTGATTATTCAAGCCAATGCGATACTTACCTTTAGTTACTGCCCGCTGTTGAGAAGTGGCTGCAGCCAGGAGAGTGTTAAGTGATTATATAGTGCAGAAAACTGGAGCCGAACAAGGCCAGCAAGGGCGGGTATATTTTTCTAACAAACGCAAAAAGTAAGAAGAAGCCATACCTGACATCAAATAAACTGGATGCTGCACGAGTGGCGCGCTGACAGAGGCGCCAAATGAATGCATACAATTTCCTTCATCCATGTGGAGGGATTACGCCTTTGAAATAGATAAGGCTAATGCTGTGTTGTAGTTCTGAAAAAGGAGGAACCTGAACACATTAATTTTTTTTTCCTTTGGCGCTACAGCCCTCATTTGGGCCTAGGCCTATCTCCGTGAAACTCTCCGTTTCACTTCGGTTTACTAGATCTTACACGTAAGGTAGGACTCCTTGGGCGAGTGATCAGCTCGTCGCAAGGCCTCTACCTGTAGACAAACAGAAAA